ATATATACATACACTACATACATACATACATGCTATATATATATATATATATATATATATATATATATATATATTTAGTCCATTTTTCCAGGTGACTCGGGTCAGAGGGCTTTATATAGACATCCAATCGACAGCAGTTTACTAGTTGAACACGAAGTGAGAGACCTGGGCTGGCTGGCATATCAATGGATGTTCATGATGGTACAGATATACCATAGTCTCGTATGGGGCTGCTATGACTACTAAGTACACACACACCACCACATACACCACCATACACACCACCCCACACACCACCACACAGGCAAAGTGTCAGGTGCAGTGGCCCTTACACACATAACGATACCTTCAGTAGAGGTGTCTAAGCCGTCGTCACTCTCGCAGTCCTCGGAAATGGCCCCGGTGTCGCTTAAACAGTCCTCTTTATCGTCCCCAGGTGCACTCTGGTTGGGGCTATTGTCCCCAGGTGCACTCTGGTTGGGGTTCGGTTGCTTGGCATCGGCATCTTTCAGGGTTTGTATGTAGGTCTGGAGTTGCACCGAAATGGGCATGGCGAATGTTAATGAAATGAAGGAGATGGATGAATTGGATATATGTATGTGCGTATATAGTGCGCTGTTGTGTATGCGTATGTTGTGTATGTGTATGTGCGTCTATAGTGTGCTGTTGTGTATGTGTATGTTGTGTATGTGTATGTACGTATATAGTGCGCTGTCGTGTATGTGTATGTTGTGTATGCGTATGTTGTGTATGTGTATGTGCGTATATAGTGTGCCGTTGTGTATGTGTATGTTGTGTATGTGTATGTTGTGTATGTGTATGTTGTATATGATGTATGAACACGTAGTACTAATACAATCACACATATATTTATATATACATACACACATACATGAACACATACATACAATGAAATACATACGAACAAACTATTTAGACTGACTGGCTTAAAACAATAGTACGGACTGACTAACAGCAGATAACTGGATAAACTGATCAAGTTGTACGAACGGAATGGAATCAAGAATAGACTCGAACGTGAATGCGAATACGATACACTAAGCACGCAGAGGCTACATCCATCCCACCCACAATCAACATAGCTCCGGTCCCCTCGAGAGGGCCGGGGAAAGCCCTCGAGTAGTGGAGTGGTGGATAGGGTGAATGACACTCATGGGTTAGGGGTTTAGGGTATAGGGTTTAGCTAAGATGTACAGATTTCAGGTCAACAGAAGATAGCAGCAGCCCTTTAGCACAGTTATACCATGTCGACAATAGAGTGTAACTAACACAACACAACACAACTATACACACACGCACACACACATAGTACTACTCACCTCAATATACTCTCTATGGGATAACACAACACAACACAACACAACACAACATAGCACTACTACTACTACACACACACACACACACACGCACAGTACTACTCACCTCAATATACTCTCTATAACACAACACAGCACAACACAACTACTACACACACACACACTCACACACGCACAGTACTACTCACCTCAATATACTCTATACCACAACACAGCGCAAAACAACACAACACTACTACTACACACACACACACACACACACGCACAGTACTACTCACCTCAATATACTATACTATAACACAACACAGCGCAACACACCACAACACTACTACTACTACACACACACACACACACACGCACAGTACTACTCACCTCAATAAACTCTTTTTGGGTGGGGAGGCGAGTGCAGCTGTTGGCACAGGCCTGCATGATGGCGCACTTGCTGTCGAGTATCTGCTGCTTCATGTCGTCGTTCTTCTTGATGTCATTCAGGCGCTTGTACTGTTTCATGTAAACTGGACAAAAATATACGAGATGGACAAAGGGTGAGGTGTGAGGAAACGAACAGCTTCATGGCGTCGTACACATACACACATACACACACATGTATACACACACGCACACACACACACAAACACACACACACATTTGTACAAACACACATACACACATACATACACACACGCACACACACACACGCACACACACACACGCATGCGCACACACACAGACACACACATATATGCACACACACAAACACACTGACACACGCAGACACACACGCATGTACACACACAGGCACACACACACACGCAGGCAGACAGACACAAACACACATGGGTATCCCTATCATCATAAGAACAATGCCAATACATACAGGGCTATACCGTACACGACAAAGACAGTAGGGTTTTGCGGTTTTTATATTCCGGGCTATATCGGAATATATACACGACAAGGACAGTGGGGCTTTAGGGTTTTTATATTCCGGGCTGTATCGGAATATAGACAAAACAAAGAACAGTGCACAATCAAGTATGTTCAGATATACCACAGTAGGCTTACCTCCCTCATCTGCGATTTGATCAATATCTGGGAAGGACGACAGCTTGACGATGGTCAGAGCGGGGAAGAGGTCTTGCATGTACTTGACCCAAGCCTCCTGGGTGGCTAAGCCAGCCATGTCTACCTGTGTGGATAGAGAAACAGCACAGAACACACGCATTGGATGGCTACATACATTAGTAATAACCGAACACACCTTATTAATAAGGGATGCACACCTTATCAATAAACCAACTCAGTTATTACTCAATTAAACACACCTTAATAATAAATTGAACACACCTTATTAATAAATTAAACACACCTTAATAATAAAACCAAACACACCCTAATGATAAATTAACACGACTTTTAAATGAACCAAACACACCTTACTAATAAACCAAACACACACCCTAATAATAAACCAAACACATCTTACTACCAAACACACCTTACTAATAAACCAAACACACACCTTAATAATAAACCAAACACATCTTACTACCAAACATACCCTAATAATAAAGCAAACACACGCTATTAATAAAGCAAACACACGTTGTTAATCAACCAAACACACGTTATTAATAAACCAAATACACCATACTAATAAACCAAACATACCTTATCAGTAAAGCAACCACACCTTATTAATGACCAGGACAACTGCCTTTTGCAGCTCTTTGTTTATGTACGCGTACAATTCCGGCGGGAAATGTAGTGAGGGGTGCCTCACATCCACAACTATCAGTATCCTGTTTCAGGGGTATATAAGGTTTAGGGTTTAGGGTTTGATATCCATGTACACGCACATGTTGGATTCTTGTACGAGAAAACAAGCACAGGCCCTGCCAGGTGTACGTTCGTGCTAGGGTCTCGCTTAGGGTTTTTTTAAGAGTTTTTGGGTTTACAACAAGCACGGGTGAGCGATGCACAGGCCAACTGTACGAAATAGCTTTATATATATATATACATATATATATATATATATATATATACACATATAGATACTAATCCAGCAGTGCTGCACCTATTGACCCTAATTCACTGCGCAAAAACGGGTATCCTTACACCTACACCGTTCGAAAAAACGTTTGACTACATGAACAGTACCGTAACTTCTCACACAATTAAGTAAGACACACGTGCACAACATATGTTTATATACGTGCACAACATATGTTAAAACACGTGCACAACATATGTTTAGACACGTGCACAACATATATCAGATTTTTAAATGCCTCCGTATGTTACGCTGACACACGTGCACAACTACTTACAAGCCATTTTACGCATACAGACATACACAACTACTCACAAGTCATTTTACGCATACAGACATACATAACTACTTACAAGACAATTTACGCTTACACACATACATAACTACTTACAAGTCACTTTACGCATACAGACATACATAACTACTTACAAGTCACTTTACGCTTACAGACATACATAACTACTTACAAGTCATTTTACGCTTACAGACATACAAAACTACTTACAAGTCACTTTACGCTTACACACATACATAACTACTTACAACTCATTTTACGCTTACACACATACATAACTACTTACAAGTCAGATACTTCCAGCACTCGCCAGAGCTGCCGCCAGGTCTGAGGAAAGAAGCATGGCATGTACTCGGATGAGCAGGACAAACAGATGTATTAAAAGAAGTGCGGTACTTGATGTAGATACGCGCGAGGCATGTGCGGTAATGAAACATCTCTCGTCGAGCTCTGTCCAGATGTACACGCTAATGGATCGATAAATAGATCTGCCCTAGATCTGTCCTGGATATAGCCAATGGACTGATGAATAGATCTGTCCTGGATATAGCCAATGGACTGATAAATAGATCTGTCCGGGATATAGCCAATGGACTGATAAAAAGATCTGTCCTGGATATAGCCAATGGACTGATAAATAGATCTGTCCTGGATATAGCCAATGGACTGATAAATAGATATGTCCTGGATATAGCCAATGGACTGATAAATAATCTGTCCTGGATATAGCCAATGGACTGATAGATAGATCTATCCTGGATATAGCCAATGGACTGATAGATAGATCTGTCCTGGATTTGTCCTGGATATAGCCGATGGACTGATTAATAGATTTGTCCTGAAATTGTTCTGGATATAGCCAATGGACTGAGGAATAGATCTGTCCTGGATTTGTCCTGGATATAGCCAATGGACTGAGGAATAGATCTGTCCTGGATTTGTCCTGGATATAGCCAATGGACTGATAAATGAATCTGTCCTGGATTTGTCCTGAATATAGCCAATGGACTGATAGATAAATCTGTCCTGGATATACGCTTAGCCCAGACACATTCTTCGCTCAGCCACACTGTAACTGTGAGTGCACAGAGTGACGGCTCACGTACACAGGAAGGTGTTGCTGTGACAAGACACACAACCAATGCACCACCCACAGCTGTCAACAGACCACTAACCTGTCCTCAATATCAATAACACAATAACTACCTACACGCCTACACGAAGTCCCGAACCGACGAGACATAGTGTGTATCAGGCCAAGCACGTATGCACTATGTCATACGCACGCACTCACCTCCAAATTGTGTTCGAAATGGCCCACATTTGTGCCGTGTTTGGTGTACACGTGGCTCAGCCATGTCTCAAACATGGCCTCCTCTCGCGCTTCCAGCTGGTCTTTCGTCATACTGTGCATAAACAATAGCCAATGAGTGAGCATAACATAAACAATACCCAATGAGTGAACATAGCATAAACAATACCCAATGAGTGAGCATAACATAAACAATAGCCAATGAGTGAGCATAACATAAACAATACCCAATGAATGAGCATAACAGGAGCTAGTGATGGGTGTGTAGCACAAAAAGTGCAAGGAGAAACATATGACATGCGAAAACAGCAATACACAGACAGTTGGAAATACAAGCACACGCACGGGAGAATGAGGATATGATAGGAAACACATGTGTTAGGAGGGATATGCACATGAGAAAACAGCAATTCACAGGCAGTGGGCAATACAAGCACAAGACAAGCACAGGAGAATGAGGATATGATATGAAATACATGTGTTATGAGGGATATGCACATGAGAAAACAGCAGTACACAGACATTGGGCAATACAGGCACAAGCACAGGTGAATGAGGATATGATAGGAAACACATGTGTTAGGAGGGATATGCACATGAGAAAACAGCAATACACAGGCAGTGGGCAATACAAGCACAAGACAAGCACAGGAGAATGAGGATATGATATGAAATACATGTGCTATGAGGGATATGCACATGAGAAAACAGCAGTACACAGACAGCGGGGAATACAAGCACAAGACACGCACAGGAGAATGAGGATATGATATGATATGATCACATCGTTCGCTGATATCACACGGGTGCTGCGCGGGCGGATGAGCAATGGAGGACAAACGAAAAGCAATGGAAAACAAACGAATAGAGGTACAGGAAGGTACAACACACACAGAACAAGGCAGGTGACAGATACAGTAGTTAGGTACAACCAAAAAACAGGTTAGAGATACAGAAACGTACAACAAACAAATAACAAAAGCAGGTTGGAGATATAGTAAGGTAGTGCGTGTAGTGCTAATTGTACGCGTAGGTGTGCGTAAACACTGCCAGGTATGTCACGATATTGATAGAGATGATTTTATAGTCAGTGAGCACAGTAGGTTAAGGATTAGTAAGGTAATGCGTGTACTGTTTCTGTGCACTTATAACTGTAAATTGTGGATGTGCTTGTGATTGCTAAACCCTAAACCCTGAAACCCGATATATATATATATGTATATATAAAACTACATTACAACAATATATATAGTAGTTCTACTATACCTGTAGTCCCATTTGGGTCGCACCGGGAATCCAACAGGATCATCGGTCGAGTAGTACAGCTCATCAAAGCCCAGCACCAAAGTGTCCTGTACGGGACATTAAGTCAAGCGACTGTTAGCAAAGAGTAAAAGATAAATAGAATGGACCTCATATATATATATATATATATATTATATAAATATAAATATAAATATATATATATATATATATATATATATATATATATTTTATCATAATGTCAGTGATGCATATTCATACTTGCATAGTTTAATTTAAAGCAAAACTTAAAATAGTTGAACTTCGGATGGACTGTAAGAATCCCAAGAAATTGGCTGCGCAATTGTTCGTTTCTCAAGTCTGGCGCATATGCAACGAGGTCGAGATCTATGAGAAGTACCGAGCTTTAGGCACACCCAGTGCCTGGGCTGCTTACTGCACAACCATTCTCTATACGGGCCAAACATGCACTCAAAATGAATTCAGGTATGTGACAGCAGAAACGGTCCTTATCACCTACGACCACAGGCATGTGACATGTACCTACTACCGAACAAGATCCGGAGGCATACCTAAACATATGATACACTATCAAAGTTATTATAAAGCAGAAACGATACCAAAACATATAACAGAATATCAGAGGTATTGTAAAGCAGAAACGATATTAATACCCTACGACTACGCACACGCACAGGCATACGTACATACCGCATTCTCATCGGCTATCACACTGCAGGTCTTCCTCTTCGCTTCCTCAATATCCACTTCCGTCGTCAGCTTGAACTTTAACTTGTACCTACAAACAAATCCAAACAGACGGCCTTACAAACTACGTAAACTATCTCAGTATGAGAAGACGTACAGCCCTACAAACTACGTGAACTATCTCTGTCTAAAAGACGTACCTACTGTCAAATTCATACAGACGGCCTTGCGAAGTATGTAAACTATCGCAGTCTGATAAAACGTACCTACAGGCAAATTGAGACAGACGGTCTTACAAGCTACGTAAACTATCTCTGTCTGATTAAACGTACCTACAGGCAAATTCAGACAAATGGACGGCCCTACAAACTACGAAAACTATCTTTGTCTGAGTCCATTCTTGCTTAATAACATATTAATCCTTACCAATGACCTATCCTTATTCGATAACATATTAATACTCTAACAACCCATTCTGCCTTAATAATATACTAATCCTCACCCATAACCCTACACACACACCTCTCTGCTTTGGCCAGCGATTTCTGACTCGACTTCGCCCCATCACCCGCGACGGTAGTCACAAGGATGGGTAGGCCTATGGCGGGGATAGTCTGTGGTTGACCTGTCTCATTGGGCTTGTCCTGGTCGCTCGCCTGCCCTCTGGCCCGTTGTTTCTGTAGGGCGGCCTTCTGCGCCTGGCTCTGGTCGTACGCTCTGAGAGGGGAGTTAATAAGTTGGCAACACGTTCAGATATAGCGTGTAATACGGATAGGGTGTTCGAAATTGCTGGATGATATAGATATGGCGGTGTTGGGGTTTTCATCTACCCCCTGAGCCGTTTACCAATACCAGTTGCTATGTCTTTTTATTTGCGCTCGACTCAGTCTCTGGCAAACTACATACCCACTCTCTCAGAATTGTCAGCGAACTACGGATCCGATGATACAATATACTTTATGTTCTACCGATACCACTCACTGCATCTAAAGCCGGCGCGTGGCTCTGTTCGTAAGAAACAGTGGATAGAGCTCATGGACATGTCTGATAATACAGATACGATGATGCAGTGACAGTGACATATGATATACGACTATACGACGTTCTAAATCTATGTGGTATGCTCTCCACGATTGGTTTGGTTTGGTTTGGTTTGTTCGAGACATGTGGTTGATAATTCATCGAATACAGATGAATACGGATACGAATATCCTGAGACAACTACCAGGGATACCCAGTGCTACGTTGCTCGTATGCAACATTGGCTTCGGGGCGTAGGCCTTAATTTCGAGAGCTAGATAGTTTCATAGTGATACATGGACGGGTATGGGACTGATACTGTAATGTAATGTATGTTATTTGTCACCAACACCAGAACCAACGCTTATTCAATAGGGCTGGGGTTTAGTGCGATTGTGAATAATAACACATGAGTATGTTCTATTTTTAGATCTTTATGGAGAAGCAGTCGGATGGCATTGGCCTGTAGGACCGAATAAGGGCACAAACTGCGGGTGGATGGCCTGAAGTGATATCGGCATGATTCCTCATTACGGAACATGACGAGCCAAGTATTTGAAATGCAATCGGACGTGAGCGTAC